GGCTGTGCCCCCGGCTGGTGTCCCCCCACGTCCCCCCGGCCCTGCCGAAGCCCTCCCATCCCACAGACCCTTCTGGCAGGGGCGAGCTCAGGGTTGCATCCACCTTCACGGGGTTGCAGGCATGGGGATGTGCTTGGCACCCCTAGCCCCTTCCCTGGGGACACCTCAGCTCCCCCAGCTCTGCCTGGCGGCTGGTGTTTGCCAGGAGCGCAAATCCCATCAAGGGATGGAGAGAGGCTTTGCGAGGGTTAGGAGCTTAATTTAAGCCGTCGTGCTGGGCTGGGCATTGCACACAGACCTGCTGGAGGTGCCTTTGGGTATTTCAGAGGTTGGCTGCAGATGTGGAGCAGCAAAACACGTCCCCATCCTGGTGTCCATCACCTCCCCAGTTTGCCCCAGATGCAGGCAGGACCTGTGCCCGGGGTGCAGCCGGCCAGCCAGAGCCCCCCCAGGCAATGGGACAAGCCAGGCAAAGGGGGGGTCCCTGCACGCTGACCCCCGGAGCCCATACCTGGGTGTCGACCCACTTGGCGCCGGTGGCGGCGTGCTCCACCCGGCCGTAGAAGTGGACGGGCAGCATGTACTCGGGACGGGCTTTCTCCCAGGGGTTGCCGTGCCGGAGCCAGTCGTCAGCTTCTTCCACCTGCCGGAGGGAGAGCGGTGACGAGGCCACCCAGCCCCGGGGACCTCCCGCATGGAGGATGGCCGGGCAAGGCTCTGGCTGCTCATGGCAAAGGGGATGATGCTTTGGAGTCCATCCCCCCTAAACCCGAATTTCGGCCTTGCAGGGTGAGCTCGGAGGCAGGGCTCTACCCCGACCACCCCAAATCCCAGGGTCTCCCTGCCGGAGGGGCGACGGATGGGGATGAGGAGGTGGGGATGAAAGCAACATTCCTAAGCACACCACGAACACCGCCGTGCTGCGACCGAGGTGCCATCACCACCCTGAACCGGAGGCTGGATCTCAGTCCGCAGGCTGGCTAACGAAGTGGGCTTGTTCCCTAGCCCCGGCTAACGAAGCGGGCTCGTTCCCTAGCCCCGGCTAACGACGCGGGCTCGTTCCCTAGCCCCGGCAGGGCTGTCAGAGGGGAGAGCCGGGAGTAGGCATTGCTTTCGGCACGGCTGGGTCAGAGCCCTGGGGCAACACGTAAGGGTCAGAGGAGATGAACCCTGCTAGGACGCAGCAGGCAGGGAATCGCCAGCTCGCAGCACTCAGGAGGCAAGGTCTCCGCTTGCTGGCTGTAGGTACAGCTTTTTTGAGGTGCTCACAGGCTCCCTCTGGGTATTCGGGGTTGTCTCCCACCACCACTGCATTTCCAAAATACCTCCGA